GTTAATTTTTATACACCTAAAGATTATATTAATCTGATTTATTGCGAATAATCGAGCTAAATATATTGTTCAGACCTTTGATTTCGGTAAAATGAACTTGGGAAAAAATGTCGGTGTAACTAAAATGTGTTGAATGTACAGTGAACAATATACGAAACCTACGGATCCGTAGTACCTACCTACACGTTTAAAGTCGAGTATCGGTCGACGTTATAAGCTGATTGGGATGTGAATAAAAAAAGAAAAGACTTCCCGTCGACGAAACCTCGCACGATCGCCACGCGTGCGTGCACATAATACTGCACCTATATATTATACTTCTAGGTAACGGTTAGGTTAATACCATAACAGTCTATAATACCATTATTACCACCTATATAACCCGTGCAATCGTTGCAGATCAGTTGAATGCACTCGCAGTGCAATCGCGTGATGCACTTTACCGAATCGTCAAGTCGTCGGAAGAGCATGCGATAATTGAACAATCGTTTTACGTCGTCGTTGCAGCGTGTAATCAAACAATAATCGCTGTAAGTCACAGGCGACGAGCCCAATTAAGCACTCGGCTTGAATATAATATGTTATACTTAGATCTACTAGTGCACAAGTGCATTATGCAGCTACCTGCAACGTAAGTATATATGCTCGGAAATCAACCGTTCCTGGTCCCAAGCGATTCTATGATTGAGGCAGGACGGTATATAACCTGTATGTAAACACAATACCTCTTAACCCATATATCTAACCTGACCATAGCCGGACCACACACCGTACTCGATTGAGACGGAAAATTTCTCGACCGTATCGCGTATACGGGCAATGTTTAATCAGTGGAAAATGGAAATTATTTAATCGGTTTTAAGGGTGTCTGCCTGATATTTATTGAGGGGGCAAAATGAACGCAATTTCTAGTTACGTAGCACGGTGGCCATACAGACAAATCAAATCAAATGTTTTAAACGATCAATAACCGCGAATTTACAGGAAAAACGAATATGCCTCGTAGAAAAAGAGAGATTTTGATTATTATTTTTTATTTACACGAGGTAAACATTATTCAAGTCACATTGGACTCAAATTTTTTAATTAACTTAAAGTAGCTCTAGAATCAAAATATGTGATATAATATAGACGTTTATTACAACTTCTGAAAATAAGTCCAAGTCAATCTGTATAGTAAATTCTTCAAGTTTCAACCAAAAAATAATTATTGAAACCTGCCTATTTTGCAGGGCATGGAAGTTTTTCCAGCGAGGAAAGTTTTTATCCTAAAATTACGTCGGCTCTGACACCTTTAACACAATTTAGTCGAAACAATCAAAATATGAAGTGTTATAATGTTTACCTATCGATTATTACAAAATCATAAAATATTTGCTTTCACAAACATTAATCTGTTATTGATTATTACCTGCCTTGGTAATGGCTGCCTTAACTTAATACTTTTTTCTTTTAGTTTTCCATATATGTTTTTACTTCACATAGGTATATAGGCACCTAATTGTTTAATAACTATTAGGTAACTGTAAATAATGAATTAGGCCAAAATGTAAATTGACCATCTGCGAAAAAATATATAATGCAAACATCCTAGTAAAAACTGTACTTAATTCGGTGATTTCTATGATCGTAATATGAAAAACTTTGTATTGATTTAAAAAAAAATCGATTTTTAATTTAATGAATGTCTAAGAAAAATGATATTATTATGAAATTACTCGGAGGTGTAAAAATTAAATTAAATACTTCTTTAATGCCCAGGTGTTATATTTATAAACATATTGCTGCCGACATAATATACTATAATATATTATCATGTGTTTCTGTATTGTATATACCAGCAAACGGAGGTCATAGATCCAATCTATAAACATGCGTGAGAGCCGGCGAACAATAGAAGATTATACATATTATTATATTATGTGCAGTTTAATATAATATAATATAACAATAATAACATGCATGGGCACCGAAATCGTTATTACTCATTTAAGTTATAATTATTAAATGGTATAAATGTGCATTTAGCACGTTGTCGAAAAACTTTTGCGTGAACACAAAGTTTTCGACGACACCGCTGTGATATGATCTCCCAATACTTTGGAACCAATAATAAACGGATATTGGACCGATAATATTAATAGTTATGATGGCTTTTTTTTTTTAATTGTATTTGATTTTATATAAAAAAAAGTTACAACTGAACTAATTGCATGCCTAATAATAACGACGTCTGATCGGTTTTTTTTTTTATTTATTTAGCGTACACGACCATGTAATTCAGTATATTTTATTACGCAGACGCGCGATAATGATAATATTAATGTCGAGACCTAATCAATATTGCTACAAGAACATAAATAATGAGGAAAGGAGATCACGTGTTCAAATAATTAGAGATTATTATATTATACTTTATGCGATTTTTCCGAAAATATTATTACGCCAACACTTTATTGCCATCACATCATCATAAATTGAATATACACATTATTTTATTACAATATAATATTGTTTATTTAATCTATGATATTATTATTATTATGACTTTTCGTAGTATACCATTGCATCGATAACAATTATTTTTACGGATATTGAGGTCGTAAAAGATAACCAAAAATTGCGCGTGTTATCTATATTATACTTTATTGATTTTTGTGAAATGTCCTCGATGGTCGTTTATGCGGTTAATTTTCATTTCATCTCGATAATAATTGATTCGGAGTATGAAGAATATTATAATATAAAACAAAATGCAATGAAATGAAATGCTCCTACGATAAAGAAACCATGGTAATTAAAAATATATTAGGTATATTCAATTTGTATAAAATAATAATTTTTGAACGATTATAGTATTGAATTAGTTCGATAATATTACTCAATTGATTTTATATTCTTGTGCCAATCAAGTTTATACTTAAATTCAGTTTGCTATTACATTTAATTGTAATTTTTTGGTATTTAAAAATTTATTCGAAACTTTGAATGTTTACTATCGAAAATCAACATGTTGATATTATAATATAATTATCAAGTACAAGGCTAATATATATATTTTGTTTATTTATACAAAATATATGAATTTCTTGGTTGTTAAACAAAAATATATTGTACAAAAATGTGATTTAAAAACTTATTTCCAACCTATACCGATTAATTTAGAGTAAAGGTATTTGAACTTGTCGTATATAGTCTATACTTTCAAGAACTACATGATTTTAAGGCTCTGTCAAACAGAAAGCGTTATTTTCACCTCACGTGATTTTGTAATTTGTTACAACGCGGCGTTATTCACGCTCGTGAAATCGCCACTCTAACGAGCCATTTACCGCTTTAACGCGTGTTATAACGCGTTCTGTTCGACTGAGCCTTTACTCTTCAAAAAATTTTAATACGACGATTTTTAATTTCTGGTTTTTTCAATAAACTTTTTTCGGATTTCTGGTGGTAAAATCGATCTTAAGTAGGTACCTATATAGTTAGGTGAATTCAAATTTATTCTCAAAATGCTTATTTTTCACTAAATCGAAATTGAAAATAAAATACATCTACATTTCTATGTTACGTGGGGTACACAAATACAGAAAATCACAGCTCCCAATCTCCTTAATCTCTGTGTCATCAAATGCCTAATATTATAATAGAAATATGTATACTCTCAACACTCAATACTCATAGTTAATGAATAATTGGTCATACATGCATATTTACACGAATGGTTATTAAATCCGTTTGTTTTTTAAGTAAGGTAAAAATAATCGTTTCAAGCTTATCAAGTTAATGAAATAAAAACCCTGAAAACACGAATGGTATTATAGGAACATTTCAGCGTGACTAAACCGTTTTTAACGACTTTGAAAATTCAATACTTTAAATCTGTTTACCGATCACTCGACAATTAAGTTAAAAAAAAAACGATTTAGGCATATTATATAGATTATAAATATTTTATTTTTTGGTGTAGTAAATAGTATAATAAAGTTTTAACAACTATGGCGAGATGTAACGAAATTATATTAAAAAGTATACCTAAAACATTTTGAATAAATAATTTTCGATTGGATATTGTTTATTAACTTACAGTTATCATATTGTATTTAAATAATAAATATATTTTTATAAAATATTTGAATTTATGGAGAAGTGCTTTAAATGTATAGGCAGATATTATGTAAAATGGTTTTACACTTTTAAAAGCTTCAATAATTTCATAATAAATACCGTTAAAAATCAAATGAAAAACCAACTCGTGTTGTCAAATTAAAGTGTCATTAGCATTCAACTTGTGTGGTAAAACGTTTAGGATAATTCAATTCTGTCTACAGAAATATTTAATGATGTTGGTACTCGTCGGACGTATTATTATAATGTTTATCTCATATTTTTCCATTCGAAATAAAAATGTTATTTTTTTTTTTTGTCAAATATTTAATGTACCTAATATTTTATGTGAATTATATTATAATATATTGATGTATACAATACGAGAATAAGAATAATTGAAATTTAATTCAATTTTCACTTTATATCGATAGTAAAATATAACTAAAAATATATGTTCGATTCTAAGTAAAAAATACTCGTTTATACATATAGGTACATTTTAAGATCTTTACTTTTTTTAAAAAGAACCACAAAAACTGCTCGGGAGTGCTTAACATATAACTTATTTTTGTTTGCTGCAGGCGTTGAGGTCGCTTTTATTTAAGATGTACACTTCATACCTTAACCCCGTGGGTTTTCCGAGGCCCTTCACGTATGATTTTAATCGTTAATGTTTCACCAGTAGAATGATAATCAAAAGTAATAAATACAATAATTATACACTGAATGTTTAGGTGACGTGTCTGCAGCCAAGTGGTAGCAGTGATGTATATATAGGTAGGCAATCGGGTGCATTTAGATGTTATTGATGCCTATATAATATTATACTTGTTTGCTGTGACCTGTCCGTTTGATATTATGATGTCTATAATTATAATATATTATTTACTGACCTGCCCGTTTTCGTGATGATCATCTCAGTGCCGAGCTCGTTGAACTTGTCCCACAGGTCTTTGGTCTCCAGCCGACAGCTGACGTGCTGCAGCTCTTCCGAGTTGCACCGTTCCTCGAGCACAGGATCCGAGGAGCCAGTGGTCGCCGCAATCGACTGCGGCGGCGGGCTTGACGTAGACGACGATATGACAATCTCGTCGGCCGGCGAGGCTCGGGACGACCGGACTGTGCCCATCGTGTCACTGCTCAGGCGCCTTTTCCTCAGCGGTTTTCCGTCTGCAAAAGCCGGCACGAGAAATGATGAAACAAAAAAATAAATCATTTTCATTTTCTCGTTTACCGCATACTAGGCGTACCTACACGTGTATATTATTTTATATTATATCGGTGCCCAGACTTTCCTAACCAACCCTCCCCCCCCCAGCGCCTTCGTGATCGAGTAAATAGGTGTACCGAATATACATGATGCAGCGATAAATGAAAAATACCGATTTAGCTGGACACTGCAAAACAACTTTTATTTAGATCTCTTCTTATTTGAGTCCATTCAAGAAAATATTATTATAGTTACATACCAATAACTAGTTAGTACTGTGGCAATATTTAACTAATTATTTAACGACTACAACTCTCTAGGTAGTAAAGTAAAATATTTTTGAGTTTAAGATCGAAATTTTCAGATTGACCAATATAACGGGATTTCAAACGTCAGTTCATCGTTTAATGAAGAAAAACTTTTTCAATTCTATGATAGTTCTATCTATTGACACGATTATAGTTTTATGAAATCATTATTTTAATGCAATCAAAAAGTGCTATTGAAGTTTGAAATACCTAATAAATGTAGTCTAACATTTTTTAAATGATTGCAATTATTAGTCCATCCATCCTATTACTTCGTGATATGTATTCGACCGATTAAACGAATAAAAAGTTATTAACTCCATAGAACAGACTGTGCACCTAATTAAAAATCAATAATTGCTCTTCATGGCTCAATATTTAGTCAATAAACTATTATTAATAGATAGTCAGTGTAAATGTGAACGTAGACCCAGAAGAAGTAGTAACTTGGAAATATATTGGGTATTTCAACATTTATATTATATTTTATTCTTCAATTCAAAACCACGCCTGATAACTTTTATTGTTGATTTGATTAAAATTAATTGTATACAAATATAATATAATGATTATTGTACTTAATACATGGTCGATATAATATTATATAAACTTAATCGAGACCTATAATGTTAATTATACATTAACGAGCGTGTTGGCCATTGGTTCATTTTTTTTTATCAAATTGTTCAACACGGTTTCGTCAAAAATGTCAAATTATTTTATACAAGCTACAGACATAGAATAATAAAATGCAAACTGCATATTATAATATATTAATATAATATTATGTGGTAGGTACTTGTATATTAATTTGTATTTCAAACAATAGGTAGGTATGCGGTAAGGTTAGGTCGGTTGTGTGAGAGGTGTATAATTTGTGTAAATTTAAATAAAACCCATTATAACATAATGTTATGTACGAATTGCATTAATATTTTCTTTTTTAAGATGTTCATTATTTTTATTGATCATATTATTAATCTATATCTACAAATGTTGACGGGTTACAGTAATATTAGGTTGTGAAAGTGAATCGATAAAAGCAATATGATACAATCGATGAGTTAGTCTAAAGTTATTCAAATATAAAAATCGTCATAACTAATATATAGGTACCTAATCGTTATGACACATAGTAAACAAATCGGTCAGTTAAATCATCGTCAAGTCAACTTTATAGTGGCATAATATTAATAATATAAATAATGGTTTAATTCCGATAGTCAATTATAGAACCTATTATACCTATACCTATACAATATTGTGTAACTAGATATATACTATATTCGTATAGTATAATTGATAACAAAATAAAACATAGGTACTTATATGCGTCGTAACATTTGAATAAATACTGAAACTTTTTTATCTATAACATAGGTACGAGTGGAAATATTATAATAAAATGTTATCGGCGTTTGAGGAGTCATCGAGTGTATTGAGCTTTGTACTATTTGTACTATTCAAAATAACATTTGTAAATGCAAACATGATAAATAAAAAACGAAAATTTAAATTTCCCACGCTAGATTTCCTGGACGATGACCATAGTATATCTGGTGACTCGTGTAATTGACGAATATTCGCCAGGTAAAGTTTTACTTGTAAGTTGTAGATACGCAAATAATAATAATAATAATAACCTATTGTTGGAATACAGCAATAATATACAATACTAACACATTAAAATATACAATATAAGACACTTTTTAGGTATATGTACATTATAATATTGTATTTTATACAACCATCCGACATTTCCTCACCTTCGTCGTCGTCAGTGGCGGCGGCGGCAACGGTTTGATGGTGACGACGGCGGTGGTGGTTGTGATGGTGGTGATGCATGTGGTGACGGCGTTGGTCCCGGTCGTCACCATCATCCGGCGGCGATGGTGTGGACAACGAGGACGAGGACGACTGTTCGTCTGCGGTGGCCGTCGCCGTTGCTGCGGTAGGTCGTTTTCCCGCCATCGCAGCGGCCGCCGCTACGGCAGCAGCCGCGGCCACGGCACCCTGGTCGCGTCGCGCCAGAATGGCGGCCACCGAAAAGTCCGTGGCGCACGGCCGCATAGTAAAGTTCTGTTCCATTGCAGGCACCATATACCTATGCGCCTAACTCCACGGCCGTATAGCAATGTGCTTCCGCCTTCTCTTATTATACCGTGGTTAAGGTAGTCACAAGGGGATACCGAACCGATCTGGTACGTGGTAAACGGCTTGAACACGACGATGACGACGACAACAGTGTGATATCGAATGAGCTTATCGCGTACAACGATCGAAAGCCGCGACAATGGAATAATAGAATTATCGTCTACGCAAAAATAACAACAACAACAACAACACTATAGTCTCGCGTGTGTATCATAATGTAATTATTATTACAATAATTATTATTTTGTGTTCATCAATGTTAAAATAATTATAATGACGTTATCGTTTTCGCAATATCACACATAATATTACCATAATGTCATATTATAACATTGACGATGATGAGAATATTATGTATACTGACTTTTGGCAGGCGCTTACCAACATACAATATAAACGCAAATAATGTTTAATAGGAATTATAATATTATTGTGTGTGAGCGCGCGGAGTTTGGTGAAACGCGTGTTAATGCGGCCGACGGACGATAAAAACGGACGCACACGCGCCGCGGGTGACAATCGACGAACCGGCGACCGGTCTCGTGTATGAGTGAGCCGGCCGTCGCCGTCGTCGCAGTCGCAATCGTCGTCGTCGTCGTCGGCGGCGGCGGCGTGCGTCGTACGTTACGCTCGGTGCGTGTTCGTAAATGTGCTCGTGTGTGTGCGTGTGTTTGCTCGTGTCTGTGCGTATGTGTACACTCGTATGTTTGTGTTTGTGTGCTTGTATTTGTGTGTATGTGCTTGTTTATTTGTGCGCGCGTGTGTGTGTGTGTGTGTGGTTCCCCACTCCGCCGCCGGTCGGCACAATGGGTTTTTCTGTTACGCCCCGGACCACTCCTCCGGGGACCATAGACCGCGGTGAATGGGCGGCGCGAAAACTCCACCACCTCCTCATCCTCCTCCACTCATCGTACGCCACCACCTCGTCCACTACCGGCGGGACGTAGTCATCCACGGAACCCGCCGACCGTTCGACACTTGCACGCCGCGCACACCGCCGCCGTCGCCGCCGCTAATAACATCGATCAAACGATTATCAAACCGCAATGAAAGCGATTATATTACTATTATTATTATTGTGTGCACCGAGGACGCGTAGTAGTGACGATAAAAAAATAACACATCGCCGCCACTAAACGCACTACCGTTTAATAGATAGGCTGCACGCTTGTAAAATATTTTATAGGCGCTTTTCGTGAGCGCCGGCTGTGTCTACTTGACACACAAATGAGGGGCCACCTTCAATGTCACCTTCTTGAAAATTGTTTTAAAACGTGTCTTTGAATATTATAATATAGACCATGGTAATAATTGCTTAGCACCCCCAAATTTTTATTGATTATGATATATTATGTCATAGGTTTATGGTATTTGGATACATTTATTATTTCTAAGACTTAATCATTTCCATAATAAAAATATTTATAAAAAAGTTTTAAAAGTTACATAAAGAGTTACTAAGTACAATTCAACAAGCACAAGACAGACTACATGTATGAACTGTACTAAAAATGTTCATTCAACATAATTTAGCTTACAATATATAAATATTGATGATATCATTCAACAGTTTAAAATATTATAACTCCCTACAAAATAAGAATGATAGGTACTATAGAATCTAGTTAATAAGAATATAATACGTATATTATTACGTATAACTTTTTATTTTTATAAAATTAAAAATGTGATTAATTTTACGTATACCTAGGTATGATGTGTTAACTTTAATAATTAACAATGAGAATATAAGTATAAAACTAAAGTGTTATATTTATATTATTATAGGTATTATATTATACTTATTAGTTATTACATTTCCTTTAATTGTATTAGTATTGTTTGATAAATGTTATATTAATGATGTAAACTTATATTTGGTTCCTATACCTACCTACTTAACACTTCTAAAAAATATTTCCACAGGCATCGGTGATGTTGACAAAATAAAATTCTTGCCCTCGCTTCTGGCATTAAGATCTGCACCTATGGATGTTTGAATGCATAAACAATAGATTGCATTATTGGTATTGGAGTACTTTTTCAATTTAGCAAATTGTTGACAGAAATAAACTGTTAAAAACATTAGATACCTATATCATATATGCTCGACCAAAGCAAAGTAAACTTCTTTACCAAATCAAGAATCTTCACATTTTTAAAATCGAACTTATAGAAGTACTTTTTTGTCAGTTTCTAAGGTCGTTTTGATGAAAAATTGATAGATATTATATGGACTTTAATGAGTTAGTCTAATGAAGGTGTATGATTAGAGGGGGTTATGGGGGGCAAAGTACCCCACGGATCACTTTAGTCTACATAAATCTAGCACTCCCATAAATTTAACCCAAATTATTTCTATATGAGCCCAATAACTATAATAATATACTCTGCGGGGGTAAATATCCAACTTTGCCATTTTACACCATTTTATACCTATTATAGGTCCCTATAATATATAGGTATATCACAGTTTTCAAAATGTTCAATACATTTTCATATAAACAGTGCCAATAATAAAATACTGTAAATGGCATTCAAACAGTTCAGATGTAGTTTTTTGTACTTCAATATAATATGATACAGTAGCGTTATCAACTATATCATTGAAACCTAATATTTATCTATAACGCATCAATTATAATGTACCATATAATATGATATCTAATTTAAATTTGAATTATTAAACTTATCGTTTCTGAGTATATTATCATATTTAAATAATTATATTAGGTACTTAAATTTGACTCTAATAAAATCGAAACAATATTTATTATTCTAAGAAGGATAACTATTCTAATCACTAAAGTTTTGCCTATATTGAGATTCTGTTATCAGTTATCTCAATTATTTTTATATATCAATCGATGCAACCTGAAACAATTCTTAAAAAACATATTATATTTCTTTATAGGTTTAGTGTATAATATTATTTCATAATAATTGGCATAATATAAAAAGTTATAATAATTATAATAATTATTGATTTCTATGAACATGTACCCAATTTTTTTTTGTCAGAAAGAATTGATAAAAAAACCTATTCATAAAACTATAAAGTAATAATATATAGTATTGTATGTATCATATCGTTCAACAGTCCTCGGGTCTCTCATATAAGTTCATTGAATGATGGTATGAAACATACTTATACTTATAAATAGATATTTTTTTGCCAGCACCTAAAAAAAATTACTAAAATATTATAGTTAAACAAATTATAGTAAATATAACTATTTAATAGGTAAAATAACTAAAATGATTTACTTATTATGCCTATATAAATATAGTTATTTGTTATGGTAAGGTTTACTATATTTTATATAGTTAACGCAGTTTTTAATGTTTGAATTAATTAAAAAATATAGTTAAAATAGCATATTTCAGTTCGAATAACTATAATAACTTGACTATGATATTTTAGCAAATGTGACTAACCTTATAGCTATCCCCATAGCAATCATAATTTACAGTCAATCCTACTATTTTTATAGTACAAACAACTGTTTCGTTATTTCCGTGTATCTGCCAAAATGTAGGTATCGCCTATACTGAATGTATCTATATAATGGGTATATCTACCTATAATGTGCCGCCAAATACGGAATTCCGAAATAGCTGCAATAGCTATATTATATGCAGGCACAACTATATAATATTTATAAAATCACTGTCCACTATATATAGGAAAACAATAGTGTATAGTTCCTCGAGAGTGATGACCAGCACATATATAAATGTGTGTAAAGTGTGAACTGTGTGTTCAATAATTTGAAACTCGTGGCGGTATTTTGGGACAATTTTACGGAGGAAATGCATTTTGACGACATGAATTCGCATGAATCCACAGACTTATTTAAAAACATATATATAGGTACCTACTTGAACCAAAGGAAACCATAGGAAACAAGTTAACGCACTTGATTATTTCTTACAAGTTATATAAGTTGCAGAGTATAGGTATATGACAGTCGACAGTGAAATAAATAACAAAAGTAATAATAGTCATAATGATAATTTTGATGTCAAAAAATATAAACAGGTACTACTACTTACGTATTAAATAAATAAAAAAAATGATTTTATTTTATTATTTATTTTATGTTATCAGCAGCGCAGACTCAATTTTTCATCAGAAAATCATTATAACCCACTAAAAATAGTTGTAAACAAATCCAAATAAGAAAGTAGAAATTACGAGATCCTATAACCTATATCTACTGAGTAGGTATTTTACAACCACATACAGTGCACCTAAAACTGATTACCAATGCACTCAACAAAGTCAACATGTTAATTAAATGATTTTTCATCATATTTGAAGTATATATAAATTATATAGTCATGAATAATTAGACCATTTTTTATTTACGCCACTGACCCCAGTCATATACCTAAAACATATGTGTTTAGAGTTGAAAAAAACTAGAATGTAAATAAAAATTAAACGTTCACTTAATGAGTTAATAGTGGGCCAATATATGGTTCCTTATATAAACACGTTTTAGTGTCCGGTGGTAATTTGTTTATTTCAGTTGAATAAACCATAAAATTGATAATTTTTTAAGCTTTGAAATAATATATACCTACATGTTACATCATTATTATGTATGAAATATTTTATATTTATAAAAAACATATTATACACTATATTTTATAATGGCATATATAACTAACTTAAATGGTAAACGTTTGGTAATACTAATAGCTATAGTTATATCGAACTGGAGAACTTTTGAGTTTTGAGTAGATACCTATACACATAATAATAACACACTGCAAATATATGGATATGAAATTATACTATAATATCCCGATAAAAAACCCATACATACAGATAAAAAATTAAACAGCTGTATATTCAGATAATAACACATGCAGGTATAATAGATTGGTTTGCTACTGTCTGCAATATAGGTATACTCGAATTGTAT